CTCAAAAACCATCGTAAAACCAATAAATCATAGTGCATTCGAAAGCAGATATATTGGGCTATACAACTATGCATAAATATCCAAATCGATTTTTTTGTCGAAAAATGCTTTTTTTGAGGGGTGGGGGCCCTTAAAGTATTTTAGCTACTAAAGGTCACACTTATACTCCAATCCAATTAAGATTTTTATAAAATTTATTCGTTATTAGCTGAATGTGTATACTCGATCGACGTAGGAGCTACCGCCTCTTGATGCGGAAAAATGGCATTGAAATAACTGAACCGAAATCAGAATCAATGGTAAGCGTTACCATTGATTGTGATTCCGGTTTAGTTATTTTTTTCTGTGAAATCGAACCAACGTAGCTTATCATTTACAAGGCCCTTATGGTCGCATTGTAACGGCGAACCTTTAAACGATTGTATGGAACTGTCTGTATTAGTTTCCGTACTAGGCAGACTGATTTTTGCTATCAACTTAACAGCAAACATCAGTTTGGATTAATTTCAGATTGGAAAGTAGTTTCAACAAGTCTGTCATTAATTGATTTAAGTGAATTGTAAATTGATTTAAATTAATCTGACAATAGAAACTAATTTAAATTTATTTTGTTGTCAGTAATGTAAACTACTTTGAGCGGACAAATTAATTAAAATGAATTCCCATTTCGGAATTGATTTAAATTTATTTTATAAAACTGATTTGTATTGTTCTAGAAATAGAAATTAATTTGTTTCGTTTAAAATAGTTTACATTATTGACAACAAAAATAAATTTAAACTAACTTCTATTGTCAAACTAATTCAAATCAATTTACGAGATCTAACTCATTTAAACCGATTAATGACAGATTTGTTGAAATTAATTTCTGCGTTCAAATTAATATAAATTGATTAGAACGAAATTAATTTCTAGAGTTACACGATAGAAATACACATTTATTTGATTTGAACTGGATTTGTTGGTCTGAATTTTTAATTTGAGATTGCTTTGAATGAATTTCTTTTCCCTATTAGTTCAGATAGACTTGCGACTGAATTGCTTTAAATTAATGTGAAACAGCATTAATTGAAATTAGTTTGAACTTTATAAACTAATTTAAACAAATTCTGAATTAAAAATAAGTTTGTACGGATTTAATATGAGACCTTTTTTAATTTTGTAGTAATCTTTTCGTGAAAAATGAACTAAAAGTAATGTTGATTTTTTTCGCTTGTTTTAATTAATGTGAATTAATTTCGTAATTTTTATTGAATCTTCATTCAGAATTTTAAACTGGTTTGAATGGATTTCGAGCACAAAAATGCTTTTTAATTGATTCGAACGGTTTTGGGCTTAAATTCGTTCGAATTCCTTTGAATCTTGAAATTAGTTTAAACTAATTAATTCAAAAGCCTTAATGGGCAGGATCAAAACCCTTGATTAAATTTGTCTTAAAAAAAGATCAATTCGTCATTTACGATATTTTCGTCTCCACCAAAAAAATTTTATGGTTTTCAACTTAAATAGATCTCTGGCTGAAAATAAGACTCCACCACTTTTTCTGCATCTTTCGGTATCTCACAGTCCATATTCGATCTGCTGATTTCTTTTTATTTTGCCTTTATGCTTTTGGTCAATTTCTTAATGGATGATGAAAGAACATGCTCCAGAAAAAAAAGATTTTTCAGTAAATAAAAGTCGCTAGTATTCGTTTTAAATGTATGAATTGACTAATTTTTTTTATTTCGTCTGCGATCTTCCACAAACAGAAAACAGATTACAACTTATTTTTTTATACCCATATTTAAATAAATTCATCCAGTTGACTAACGTTGGTAATGAATGACTATCGGATAACATAAAATTGATGGGTATCAAGGAATCTTCAACAACAATACCTGGTTGTGTCACGGTAAGTTCATAGTACAGTATTCGACGTCCATTAGTTTGCTTAATTGCACCGCCAGTCGCATCTCATGATAATACCGATTGATTAGATTGAACAAGACGATCATATAGACGAATACTTGTTTCAGTAAAACAAATAGTATGAAATGGTAATAAGCAATGGAATTGAATTGCACCTGGAACTACCCCATCAACACAGATTTCATTATTAAATTGAATTTGTAATAATATTAATGCTTTGTCTATGTTCTTGTCTAATGTGGTTTCGCTAATAGCTTCGCGTTTGATTTTTCTTAAAGTTTGCTTTGATGTTCCGGTGGCATCATAGTTGAATGCTAATTTTTCTGATCGTCGTTCTGATTTTCGATTGTTCTCTGTAAATTTGTTGTACAGAACCACCAATTCTAAACTTTTCTTTCAATGCTGTACGTTTTAAACCACGTATTGGACGAGCAACTCAGTTTTGTGGTTGGTGTAGTACTTTATTGTTTAAGGTTTGAACATAAACTTGGCCACTGTTAAAAACAAATACAGAACAACGAAAACCACCTTTTGGACGACCACGACAATGGATGCAACACTTTAATAAATAACTAGTTGGCCTCAATAATTGTTTTCCAAAATATCTTTGCGATATACATAAAGCACAAAATGAATTAAATTTTTTTAAATATGGTAATAAAATATACAAATAATCGACGTCAACTTTTTTTTTGTAATCAGCTGTTTTTATAATCGGTTGATGTTGTCCTTTTGTTTTGAAAATCGTTTTTCTTGTTGTTGTTGTTGAGTGATCCACTGATAAACCTAATTGTTGTAATAATCTATTTCGTTGTCTTTTGACAATATCTTGCCGAATATGGTTTAACTTCAGTAGATCAAGATCTGATAATTTAAATTGGCAATTTGGAGGTAATCTTTGTATAAAAATATGATGGTGGTGGCATGGTATTGTCATCTGACACTAAAAGAAAAGCACAACTATAGCTTTGACGCCAGATATAGTAAGCCACTGCAATTTATTGTTCTGCTAATGACTTTTTTCCTGTACTCAGTGGAGTTGTCCGAGAGGAGTAGTTAGATTTCTTTGATGAATCAATTTTTATCTTACATGGTTTAAATCTATTTTTTTTTCGAAAAGCGCGCATTCTTTTGAGAACAAAACCGAACTTTTTTTCAGATGACGCAAAAGTTTCATGCGAATTCAAACAATTTTGACAAAACGATGAATTTTTCCTTTAAAAATAAAATCTTGTATTAAAAAGGTACTGTGTACCAATCTTTTCGAAAAAAAAATTTAAATGCTAATGGATTCGTTTCAGATATAAACAAAACCTTGAGTCCGCTTGTACTTTGCAATCCTTACATTTTTTCGAATTCCAGCAAATGTAGGTCCGATTTTAAAAATACAGGATAGATCAGTAAACATTTTTCTAGCCTTTTTTTAGGCTGTTTGACTTTTTGTACGCGTCTCCGCATTTGCTAGAAACATATCTTTTATAGAAAACATTAAAAAAATCCACAACTTTAGCAAAATGGGTAAAAAACAAAGTTAAGCTTTGGTAAAGGGTGCTTTCTACGAACGAAAATTTCTCTAAAACAAGATGAATTGGCATGGCCATTCTCTCATCCGAATAATGGAAAAATTGCGCATAAAGTCCGCAGGATTTGTTTGATGCATTGTACTGATAGTTCCTGAGACGAGCGGACACGAAAATTCACTTAAAATAAATGAATTTGCCAAAACATTTTTTGGAAAAGATTCAAAGTAAATTTGTAGCAATTTGTACCTCTCACACCCGATAATAAAAAAGTCATAACTCCGTTCCAGGCCCATTCTGACCCGGAATGGTAGTACCTGAAAAGGGTCCCTTGCCTGGGGTTACAGGTGGTCTTGTGAGCTGGCAAGATGACGACTGAGCAATGCGGACGAACCATAAGAATGGTCAAC